AAAAAATAAAAATAATAATAAAAAAAAATCATCTTTTTGCAGTATAGACAATGTTTTGAGAGTTAATTCGCATATATGCAATCAAACTCTCCTCCACATCTACAGGTTCATGGAAGGATTTAAAAGCAGATCTCCAATTCATCTACAATATTTCATAGAATCAGACAGTTTCTGTATGGAATCCCATGTTGCATAATAATTTATATCATAACAATCTTTGCAAATTGATATTAATAACTAACTCTCATTTCTAAGTAACTAATCCTGCTACACCATATGAAAATGAGACCTGGCTTACCTGATGGTCAATAATAAAAGATCTTCCACAGCAAAATCCTCCAATAGAAGCCAGTGAGTTTTCCATGTTTGCACTAATAAGATCTATATCATCAATCTGCCAGTTAAATTAACAAGTTATTAAGAGATGCTTTTTATTACGTCAAGACCATTTATAAGACAAATCCATTAACGATGTATCTTGTTTCATATTATCATGAATACTAGAGAAGATCCACCAAACTATCACATATTAAAATGAAGCTACAACTGAAATAAGAATTTTAAGCAATATAAAAGGACTTTAGAAATTGAGATTTATGGACCTGTAGATAATTTACAGAGGAACACTCTTTTCCAGGCATTGCAATGTGAAGAACACAAAAAGAAAAAACAAATTATATAGATACTGGTGACAATTCCTCAAAGCACTCAGTGTGACAGTGTCCTTTAAGAATATAAATAGTCCCACTGCCGTCAGTAGGAGTTAGAAGGTTACTAAAATTGAGCATAAGTCTAGTTAAATCAGAGTCTGAACCTTAGAGACACAACTGGCTTATTTCACTTGTTAGTTGCAAACATATTTTTTGCCAGGCTCTGTAGTACACACTGATGACCACTGCTACAAATTCCCATTCTGAGCAGACAAAACTGAAAGATTATGTTTGTACATGAATTTAACATAGAAGTCAATTAATCAGATGGTACTTGGCAAGCATCACAGTAGTGCTGTTTGTTTCCTTTGCTAAAGCTGTTTAACATTAATTTTCTCTTTTCCACATTTAGTATTAGAACACTGAAAGAGAAAACAACAGGAGATAGGGGAAGACAGAATGAATTCTCAGAATTTGATATTTCACTTCCAAGCTGAACTCAAACACTGTCAGAATGTAGTGACAGACGCTCCACACTAAGACACTAGCAACCAAAAGAGCACTTCTTTCCCCTGCTCAGATGGCTGTGGTAGCCAACAACCACAAGGATACTATTTTGGATTTCTGAAGTACTCCTAACCTGAATAAACACCACAAAAGGTAGGCTCTTGGAAAAATAGTTTGGCTTAATCTGCTGGTAAAGTAGTAAGACAACATCTTTGAAAGGACCATCAAAAGCTTTATCCTATTTTTCCCCACTGGAGTAAAACGTAATAGAGCAAAGTAGGTTGGCTATACACAGAAGATTTTTCTGACTTACCCCTAACCCCCAAATATTTCTGTGTAAGCATGACACTTTTAAGTGTATGTGGCTGGAAAATACTGCAATCATCATCTTACTGAGTGTCCAAAAAAAGGATAGAATCATGCATTGCAAAAATTCTTTTGTTATCTTCCTCACTAAAGGTAAGTAAAATTATTTCAAGTAAGCATGTGAAAGAAAAGTGCCAAGACCTGAATGCTTTAAGACCGATAAAGTATGTTTAAATTTTTACTGCATACCACTAAAGACTGTTAATGGCACAGATATAAGAAATGAATTGCACAATTTGCTTCCGTAGAAGTCTCTTGTTCACAACAAAACTCACAAAAAAGGCACTTACATTTATTCCAAAATGTTCAGTAATTCCTCTCCCATGTTCTCCAAGGACTCCAAAGGAAAGGCTCTCCTCCAAAAATATTCTAACTTTGTATTTATACTTCAATTTTATCTAAAACAGAGAAAATTATATAAAATACAAGTCAAAACTCATCAGAATTTGTAACAAAATGAGCAGAGAAGATAAGGTGAAGACAGACAAGTACAGTATCCTAAATACTGCAAAAGTGTCAGCTATAGAGTTGTGTTCTGTCATTAAGACATTTCAAAAGCCTTCAAAGTTTTTCCACCATGTAATACTAGAGTAAATTTCATAAGTGTTCATATACCAAATAATTTTTTTTTTTTTAAAATAAGCTATCAAGTACTTTAAATATGATGCATTTTCACAGTATTTCTTCCATTATCTGCTAGAATATAGCCTGCACAAAAAGCCAATTTATGCTGAATAGCAAACATTTTCCTTGGAGTCACTGTTTATGTCAGCTGTGTGATGGTTTCTTTGAAACGTAATATTTTTGTTTTAGATATAACTTAATGTAACGATTTAGTATCATATAGCATAGCTGAAAATACACTATATAGTACAGGTTAAAAATTAAGACCATAACCAGATATTCATTTGCAAGTCTCATTACATATAGCTTCAGAATCCTAATCCTGGTCAGAAGTTTCAAAACAAGGTAAGATTTGGGACTGGCATTTCATGAGCGTTTGAGAAAGCAAGACGGTAAACACAAAAACTGCATGCAGAGCTTTTCTATGCAGGCTTAACTATATGATACTACTATTTCATTAGCCACATGTTTTCATATGCAGAGTTTAAAAGGCAAACTGAAACCACTTACCAACTCTGGAAGAGGGCAAATGTCTCCTGTGTTCATATATAATCCTTCCACTACAATAAACCTTCGAGTTACACGGGCCTTGCGAGGATTCTTCAGAGAAAGATATGGCTTCAGTTCATATCAATTGTTACTAACAAGAAAAGCACTGAGCATTTTTTGATAGGGAAGGACAGTAATGGGAAGGGAAGGAAGATAATGTCTCTTTTTCAAGTAAGCTTTTACTTTAGTTTAAACTTCATATTTATCATGTGTAACAAAAGCTGAAACTCCTCATTGGACCAGTGTTTGTTTATTTTGTAATAACTTTAAAGCTTTTGACTCTTACACAAGATTTAAGATGCCTCGTTTTGCAACAAATCATAACCAGTCCATTTGAACTTTACGAATAAAATACAGACAATACAGCTACAGAACAAATACTACAAATCTTGGTCTCTCTTCTATTCATCATTAGTCTGAGCATTTAGAAGGCTTTTCAACAAGTGGTTTGTGCATCAGGATTCCCAACACAGCACAAACCTCTCACAAGTAGTGTCTTCATAAAACACAATCCAAAAGTATTCATAACATTCAAGTTACAATCTCCTTGTCTGATCTCTGGACAATATAGGCCATAAGAATTTTGTGCACTGGATCATGTTTAAATGTCAATGCTATGATTTGAGTTTTGTTGTTTTAAAATGTCATTTCCCTGGTATTTACTTTAAACCTTATTGATATCTTCTGATCAAGGATGTTAAGTCATGCTTCTTAACCTTTTTCAGTTCTTGTAAAAAGGTTCAGAGAACACCTATTTGACTTTTCTGAGTGGCAGTCAACAAAACCAGGCACAGTCCACTCCACAAGTTGGACCAAGTCTAGTGGTAAGATCTACGCCTTCCTAGTCAGTATATCTTAGTTATACACACATGGTCTATATTAAGCTCTTGGCCACCAACTTTATGTTCACGTTCAGCTAATTACATTAAGAAACTTTAACCATGTAGCTAAATCAAAGCATTCTGCTCTAACAAACCAAGTGTGTCACACAAATTGCATCGCTAGTCTGTCAACTGCATCTAAAAACTCATGTAAACATCATCTGACAAAATTTATTTTCCACAAAGGTACGTTAACTAGTATGTTATCTCTAAATTTGCTGTTAATCAGATCCATTACTGATTTACACTGATGTCAAGCTGACTGGCTTATAATGATGCAGTTTACCTACTTTACATTTTCTGTATGTTAGCACAAAATCAGCTTTCTTCCAATTGTCTGTAACTTTCCAGCATTCTGTGAACAAGGCACATAATGGTGATAGTTCTTCAGCTAATTCTTTTAAAATTCATTTAACTAAGTTACCTGTATTGTTGATCCTGATTTTAGTAGCTGCTTTTGGACACCCTTTTGTATTACCATCAGAATGAGAAGCAAGCCATCAAACTGACCCAACATTTTCAAGAGAAAGAACATCTTAACTCTTAAGTGCAAGACAGGGGAACAGTTTAAGGAAAAAAATAATTCATGTTGATTCTATACATTAAAGGGTTAGGACTAGCTGCTTTTGTGTTGATTTTACAGTGTGGCATTCAAACTAATAAATCATGAAAGTTAATTATCAGGTAAATGCAGTTATACAGATTCCTAAAAGACCAAAAAAAAAGCTCCGTTATTTTATTTGTTTAAAATAATATTATCTCACACTTCAGTGATCTGCCCATAAAGATATTCCCCGACTACCAGTGCCTGTGAGCTTGCTTCCAGTGGTTACACAGACAAACGCAAATAAATAAATTTCAAAAAAATTTAATCTTAATTACACAAGCAACATTAACTGCTCAGTAGAGATTTATGAAAACCAAATAACTGCCTATAAGCATTGCATCAATTCAGTTACACAACCCAGTAAAAAAACGTGGGGGAGGTGGCACAAAAGAGTACAAATATTTCTTCAAAGGAATGGTACCTTTTGATCTTCAGTCTCTTGTTCTTTCAACAGTCGTTCAAGGTCAGCCATATCATTATGCTTGAATAACTTGATGTTACTACGAGATGCTTGTAATCCCTTCTGAATAGCAAAGCAGGCAGCTTCATCTCTGTAAATATAGCAAGCCCTTCTAAGTTTGCACTCGGTTTAACAATTACTCAAAGAAAGCTGGCTATTAGGACTGTCCTGCTTTTGAGCAGATACCTGTACTTAGGTGTAGTTAAAACCAGATTTATTAAAACATCATATATTTCATTTACATTTTGAAAGCTCATTTCCAAAGTTTCTCAACTTTCCTATGTACTATAGCCACTAAAAGCAAGCCAACAGCTTTTTTTCTTGAAGTGTACACTGGTCCTTTTGTTTCTGTGTGACAGCAGTTTACCTGAGCGCAGTACTCCATGGACCAAGTACAGTACCATGATAATCATCCCAGAAACCTCTCATTCCATCTGCTCTGGGTCTTAGAAAACAGGCACAAAGATGTGGCTGTAACATTTATAGTGGTTGTCCAAGTATTCAAAAATCTGCTTTCTAATATCCTCTGGGAATTACTGTATCAGTGTTCAAAGAACTATCTGCCATTTTCAAGTTTTGGAAAAGCAAATCTCTGAGCATGATGGGGTATGCAATTTCACAGCTGCTTAAGTCCAGTAATCTTTTAAAAGCTGCAACTAAATCAAACCTTCTGCATGTGCTAAATGCAGTAATTTCAACCAAGTTGCTTTTAACTATGGTGAGATCTTTTGTCAGTGAGAAGCTGAAACAGTACAAGATAGCTAAATCCAGGACACACTGGCATCCTTGAATAGCGCGCACAATCCTGGTTGTTCGTCTCAAAAAAGCTGATCCGGAAAATGTGCAAAGATGACCAAAAAACATGATCAAAGTTATGAAAGAACTTCTGTAGAAGAAGTCAAATAGGCTGCAAGCCTTACACTTAGAAAAGAGAGCACTGAAGAAAGATTTTGGCAGCAAATACAGAAGTATCACTGTGCTGTCGCTTAACCCCAGCAGGCAGCTAACCCCCACATAGCCACTCACTCACTCCTCCCATGGAGGAGATGCATCAGTTCACTGTCTAAAAATCAATTGAAATTAGTAAGTGTTATATTCAAAACAGGTATTTCTTCGTATTTTTTCATAAATTGTTCAAGTTAAACTGTGAAATTACATGTCATAGAAGCATTTTGGATATTAAGGATTTACAAAGATACTAAAAGAGTAGGAAGGCTTAAGAAAAATCCATCAACTGCTACTAAATCCAAACACTTGTCTTTGGCTCAGAAGGTTTTGACTATTGTTACATTGTCTCTCCTGCCTTTTTACTCTTCCCTAGACAAATTAGGACAGGCTATTCTCAGGAACCGGTTACTGAATCCTTAGTTTGATTTTGCATAGCTGTTCTTGTCTTATTTTAATATGTACCAATATTGATTCAACTAATCCGTTGCAAATATGCATGAGGGGAACAACCGTCCTGCAAGAAAGGTGAAAAGGCAGTAGTAAACTGGAGAAAAGCAAATAAGACTGTACAGTTTCTCAAGAAGAAAACTAGGTATTAGACTTCTGTTAGTTCTTGCATGCACAAGTCTGGTTTTCTCTTTTTTTTAGCTGAGTGCCCAAGTCTGCTCTTCCATGGTAAAACTGTAACTGATTTGATTTGGAGTATTTGGCAAAGAAAAGATATTTGAGCTTTGTACAACGAAATACTTGATCAAAACCAGCATTATTTTCTAAATGGTTAACTTAATACGATTAACATTAATAAAAAAGAAAAACTGAAAGGAAAACTCTTTAATCTGGAATTTGCCAAGTAGAAAACAATACTCACACGAACACAATGTCCCCTCTTTTTGAGTATGCAGGAATAGCACTGGCAATCGTTGCAAATCCATATGAGTATATAATAGCTTCCTCTGTCCTCATGAATTTGGCTAGTCGTTCTTCTAATTCTAAGTGCACATCTATTTGAGAGAAAAATTGAAAAGATCTTAGATAGTTTACTTGTTTTCATAGTAGAAAGACTATCATCACTTTTAGCAATCATCTAATCAAAGCAAACAGAATGGTTATTTGTAGGAAGATCGTTACAACAAATAACTTCCCAAAAACCAGCTGCAACCAATCCAGCCTTAAACTGACAAGTAACCCAATATCAATTAGAGGCTTTGGTAGATCTGAAAATATTTATGTAATGTAGTTCTCTCATGTTCTTATGCAATGGTAATTAAAATCTACTTGTGATTAGACCACAAGTAAATGATGCAGTGTTCCTGGACTGTGACTAGGGAGCACAGTTACTACAGTCAGACAACAAATAGCTATGTAATTTATAGTAATTAATCAGGTCCCGTCAGCAGACTGACAATTCTTCTAGCTGATGCTTCCAATGCATATAGCACACCTATCATTATAGCAGAAAACTGCTCTTGTCAGGCTGCAATCACACACCGTCTCCTGAACACACTTCAGCCACTTGAAAAGTGCATCATCTACCAGCAGTCCTGGCTAACTGGGGAGGTCCCAGATGACTGGAGGCTAGCCATCCCAGTTGACAGGAAGTTAGCAAACGTGATGCCCATTTACAAGAAGGGCTGGAAGGAGGATCCGGGGAACTACAGGCCTGTCAGCCTGATCTCGGTGCCGGGAAAGGTGATGGAACAAATCATCCTGAGTGAGATCACAAGGCATATGAAGGACAATCAGGGGATCAGGACTAGCCAGCATGGGTTCATGAAAGGCAAGTCCTGCTTGACCAACCTGATCTCCTTCTATGACCAGGTGACTCACGTGGTGGATGAGGGAAAGGCTGTAGATGTGGTCTACCTGGACTTCAGCAAGGCCTTTGACACTGTCTCCCATGGCATTCTCTGGGACAAACTGGCAGCTCATGGCTTGGACAGGAA